TAACTCACTGAAAATTATTTGACATTTTAATAGCGCCCATTCCTGGATCCCTTAACTAAATATCACTCACATGCCAAAGTACCGCAAAGCAGTGGTGGATAATTAAATTCCAAAGTTTATAATGTGAAGCCTAAAGCTAATTATAAGCAAAACTTACCGGATTAAAGTAAATTTTCAGTTTTTATTCATTTTTTGTTTTTGTGTTGATACATACGACTACATATCGTTACTGCTTATAACATATTTAGGTCAATTAAATTATGAAACCAATAATGGCATTTACCACATAATTTATTGCTAAGGAGATTTAGGATACACATACACCAGGTCGAACTGCACTAAGCATTATTGCTTATTGTGTTAAATAATTGAGTTCAAAATACCTTTGCATGCAATATCCTAATTACCTTAGCCCATGTGATTGATATAGGGAAGGGCTATTAAACGTAAATGAGTTAGTTTAGCTGAAAATCTCCTGTCATATATAAACAAAAATTATATAAAGAAACCAATTTTAACGTACTAATTGCAATATTAAATATATAATAAAAAACTTTATGTAATTAAAGGATACACTATAAAGTTTACATATATATACATTTTTTATGAATTCTCTTGCAAAATTTAATTCTTTCCAGTACAGTACCGTGAAAAAGGTATTAAAAATCCAACAAGAAAAAGCAAGAGTACTTCATGCAATTAAGCACAGTTGTGTTGTCAGTTGGTATTGCACATCCTTTACAGGTAGTGAATGTATATGGAATTGGTATGAATTGGAGCTGAATGGGCACCCAATCTATTAACAAACCTAAGCACATAAAACCACTCAATCGTGTTTTTCACTCAACTTCCTCCAACACTTTTGATTTTTCATTTACAAGTCACACTTGATGACCCACATTGAAGCACATAAGCATTAGCTCCATGCCACACTTAGGGTTTCAATTGTGGATGTTAGCAATAAAAATATTAAAAGAAACTTTTAAATTGGACTGAGTTTAAAAATTATTAAGTTTTTTTTAAATAATTTTTATTTTTTTTTTAAATACATAAGATCTCATTCATTAGCATTTTATAAGCTGCGTTTAAAAGTAAATAATACTTCTGTCGGCCATAATGCTTATCTGTCGGCCATTACATGCATCGATAAGCTCAAAACACCACCCACATGCTCTTAAGAAACATCGGATATAAAAACATACCAATATACCATATTAATATTAAGCTAAAGAATAGTGGCTTATCCTAATATTTTCTTTAAGTATTCAAATTATATACAGAATTTTATCATAATATGGAAAAAATTTTAAAATTGATGACGTAGACCGTAGTAAGTAGAAGATCTATTTTCTTACAAATTATCATGTTCTATTCATATTCTATTCTATTCGGTTGTTATTCATGTTTACACAGGGGAGCACATTAATGAACTAGCGAGACTCGATCCCTCTGCATTAGAACCTAACTTATTAGCACCTTTACTTCTAATTACAAATATGAATCAAACCACATTCAGTTTAAAAACTACAAAACTGAATCACAATTTATTTTGTTGGAATGCAATTATGTTATCCTATTTCTGAGATAGGATAACAAGTATCTTACCACGCCAGGCATGCTATGATGTAAAGGTATAATAACCGATGTACCCAAAGTTAGAAATTCACACTTGGTGCATAGTAACAACCCATCACAACTGTTACGTATTATGATTCTCGGAAGAGACACTAATTCCAGATATAACTATCCAGGTTTATCTATATGCTTGTTCAATTGTTTTAGCGTACTTCTTTAACTCACTCTACGACAACTCTAGTATTGAATTCAGGTAAATACTAAATACTAGTGCTGTTCATATTATTCGGAAGGTGTATGACGCACATTCATTCCGGTTACTTCGTTTCCTATGTGATTAATCGGATTCTCCAAATACTTCGTGAAACCGAATACGAACAGCACTACTAAATACCTTTATCTGGTTATTAACCACACAATTTTCTTCCAAAAATTATGAGGAGTTTGGAATTAAAAACGCTTTCTAACTAATTATGAAACCACTAATACATTGATATCGCCTAACTACCCAATTATAGTTCTTCAATTCAAATGATACATTAATCCAAAATCTTCAATTAGTATATATGTATCCGTTTGCTTCTAGTCGAAGTTAGTACAGAATTGTTGAGAAAACATCAATATTCATAGTCGAGAAAACATATTTTTTAAATTGCAACTGGTAAACTCATCTAAAATTTATTTAAGAACATAACTTCGGGTTATAATTAATACGGAAGCTAATTACAACTACCACAACAAACAGATCTCAGAATAATTTGTTGAAAATTTTCTTTCATTAAATATAAAAACAGTTCTCTTTATCTGACACTTTATTCTAATGAGTATGTGAACTAACTGAAAAGTTTTTAATTCATTACCAATGCTAATGAATGCATTTTCAGAAATTAATTTGAGGAGACATTTAATTGGAGTGATTAAAATAGTAAAATAATTGAAACAAATCTTGAGAATGCTTTTTTGTTCAATGCTTTTAATTAAATTAATTTAATAGATTTTTTACATTTCATTTAAACTCTATTGTATAGATGTGTATAGATATGTGTATAGATGTGAACGGTTATATATAGTAGGTATCAACCTTCCTCACCTGACGCAAATGCTTTAAATGTTTTAAAAAACAAAACCCAAAATTAATTAACTTTTCAAAAAAATTTATTCCAACACATATAGAGGAAATAAAAATTTATTCAAGGAATTGGTTAACCCTATGTCAACTTTTACCCCCAAGCATAGATACCTTTCCGTTCAGGCATGTAAAATTATTTTTAGTTGGAATTAAATGTCGTACACTGCAGCAATAAAACAACAGAAACAAAGAAGAAAAACATTTTATAGCTCAGAAAGGTAGTAAAACAAAATTAAATTATATTTATACAGAAAATATTATAAAATGACATAGACATGCATAGACAGCGGCGAACGGGGTTAACAATTTCAATAAATTTAAGACAACTCTTTGGAAAGCAGAACATTTAAGACTACAACGCCATGGATGCAATGCTCCCATAAGCAACTGTGCGAAAGTGTTTACGTTGGAACACAGAACATCTTGTAATGTGCAAAATAATAAAATTATGTTTATGTTCCAATTATTTTATTGTTTCCGGAAAGAGAATACATTTTTTCTGCAATCAGCAGGTTGCAATAAAGGCTTCGAGCGTCGATTTGTCTGTTCTCTTGTGCCAGAACATAATGAAAATGGAAATCGAATAAGCAGAAACTGGGCTATTGTTATTCCATTTATACGTGAAAAGATATGTGCGTCTATAAAATTAATTTACTTAAATTATGGAAACTAATGTCATTTCACTAACTGAAAATAATGAATGGGTGCAAAACAAAGGTCTTACATTAGTTGTCATTAAACAATACATAAATATTATAATGTCCAACTGAGTCGCATCGGAAATTGAGATGCAAATACATAATAATTTTCGAAGGACTCAAAAAACAATTAATTATCTTGAAATAAGATTCAATGGGAAACTTACGTTTTGGGCACAAATAAAGCAGTAGAGAAAGCAGCCTAGGCGACCACTGCCTTAAGCAAACTAATGGTTAATACAGAAGTAAACGCCATACTTCTTTATGGTATCAAAGTATGGGCAGACACACTAGACATCGAAACCCTCAGAAAAGAAATAATAACGGTGCATAGCGGGTGGCTCTACGTATCACATCAACGTATCGTACTCTCTTGGCAGAAACAGTTTTTGTAAAGGAGCGCCAAAGAGTATACAATAAGAAATTGATCGGCTTATATACGCAACAAATAACAAGAGAAAATCAGGAGCAAACAATCGAAATATCACAACAGAGATGGAACAATAGCACTCAAGGAAGCGGAACAGCTAGACTGAAACCAAATATAATCACCTGGCTCAAACGGAAATCGAAAGACACAAATTACTATCTCTTTCAGATGCTGACCGTACTTAAATATTTTTGCAAATACCTGTACCGCATGGAAAAGATGGATCTACTCGAATGCATTTATGGCGACGGAGACTATGACAACGAAAAGTACACATTCTCTAACTGTAATTGGTGTAAATAGCCTAGATTAGACCAATAAGTCTCGAAAATAAAGTGAAAAAGATGAGAGTGAACCCAGAGTGAACTAGCGAACGATAGAGTTATATGTGATTCAAGTCCTCAAACCGAAGAAATCATACCTAGAAAAAAGTATAAGAGAATAAGCTAATTAATAGTGCAGACACCAAAAAATGCGGTAAAAAAGTGAAGATCTGAACGCAGATCGAAAATCACAAAAGCATGATTTGAAATACAAACATAAAACAGATCCTCCTCGATATAATGTGAAAACGGTCCATCGGGAGAATAAGTCTCAGCAAAGAGGGGGTATTTTAGTCCGTATACTACATATTAATGTTAGGGGGTTGAGCACAACATTCCGACGATGGTCGGTCTGGGGGTGCATAAAGCATTCTACCTTCTCACCACAAAAAAACTCACCTGTGTAGCATAAAATATTGAAACATCTTCTGGATTTTTACCATATTCTGTAGGTTTCAAACATTACGAAATTGAAACAACAAAAATTTTAATTTATTTTTAATTAATGAAGTTTTGGGTGACCACACAGCTTTTTCGCATATTGACAAATATTCATTGTTCTTTCCTTTGAGTTCTTTCATAATATGGAAAATATATTCCAGAAAAAAAAAAATAACTTATAAAAAATTAATTAAAATTTTTTCTTTTTAAAATCATCCATTAATAAGTTTTAAAATATAACTTTATCAAAATAGTTTCTTGAATTCTACGTTGATCCTCAAATATTTTTTGACGGTAATCAAAACTACTTATAGACCCCATATTGTGCATATATAAAAATACTTAATTTACATATTAAAGTTTTTAGTGTAACTTAATTGATTAATCTTCTAAAAATTTTATAGGAACTAGTTGCCATCTCTCCAGAACGTAGAAATTGGCGTGGAATTTTTATTGCTTTATTAGTAATAGCTGCAGTCTGTAGTTTAATTATATTTTCCATATTTCTACTGTCACCAGGTAAGTTAATTAATGTACTATCTAGTTGAATTTAAAATTTCTAATAATATTTATAATTTAACAGAAGATGAAGGGCTACGCATTCGTGGAAGGCGCCTGATATTAAGTGATATAATAAGTAAAAGTTTGCAATGGAAGCCTTTCAATGGCACTTGGAGTAGTGGTAAGGAAATTGAAAATAATTTAAATAATTCTAAAATTGATTATGAATGGTTTGAAACCATTCCTGTATACATCCTCTGCAGTCTCGTACTTTAGGTGTAGTTAATATTCCCTCAACTTGATTTTAGTTGTTGATTTAATGACTTTACCATAGACGCTGTCTTCCCTCACTTAATCTTTCGCCACTAAACACGTTTTACACTCCATTTTCAAAACATAAACAAATCATTGAAGCCAATGGATCTTAATACACTGAACAATGTATTTGTGATAATGAATTTTAGCTAGCTCGTGATACATTCAAACGCTTTTAATAATCTAAGCCAACTCGGACTAAACGAAGATCTTAAGAAGGATTTTCATAAATTCTAATATTATGGAAATGTTAAAAATCAAATAAAAAATATACAAATTAATAAAGAAAGTAATTTAGTAACCCACTTCTATTCAAATATATACAGCTCTCTATATATATTTTTTTTCTCTCTCTATATAATGTCTAATTTACGAGTATAAAAAGTTTTTTTTTTGTAAACTTAAGCTATTATTAAGAATAATTTTTAATACTTACTATTTGATTTGTGATGGAGTGTACCTTAGCTCTCTTTATAGTATTTGTGGTTTCTATTGGATTTGTGAAGAAGTGTACCTTAGCTCTTTTTATAGCATTTGTGGTTTCTGCAATCACCGAATAAATATTTTACAAACTCATGGACCGATAGCAAAAGTCTTACCCCATACAAACACCTCATTCGTATCAACAGAAATACTCTCGGATTTCTCTTTCTTAATAGATCTGAACTCTAATTAATAACTTCTTTGCATCCACATTTTATTTATGGTTTAAAAACACCTTGAAAAACACCTTCTGTGAATAATGCCTACATCTACGTATCAATAAACCGAATGTGGTCTGAACCCTTGAACCAAGAAATATTGTTAAGTTCATCAATAGCCCATTTTAGTTTAGCAGACTTTCTTCATAGATAGCACAATAGATCTTCAAGTTCACGATGTATGATAATTGCTTGTGAATATAATAGATACTATTTTTGATATTTTAGATGTGGAACTTATCTTCCGTGATCCAACTGGTGGACTCTCTATTCTAAATTTAGATAATTATACAACTAGAATTTTAATGACAAATTCGACATTTGTAAGTGGTGTTAATAAAATTACTTATTATGTTAATTAATTGAATATTATTGAATTGAAATCTTCTAGCGTCAATTAAACGCTGATTCCTTTATTGTGTCACCAGATCAAAAGTATGTGCTTTTACAATCCGATACGAACAGTGATGGATCAAGGTAAATTGACTAAGAAATTACTTAATATTGTGAACACAAAGAATTTTTTTTTTTCTACCAAATTAATTATTAATGTTAGAGATATTATTTTTTAATTATTTAAATTAGTACATAATTTATCATTAAACTTTTTCCTTTAAACGTTTGCTTTAATTGCGACATTAATATTTCTAATAAATAATTGAGCAAAAATTAATTCATTTTGTCAGACATCATGTTTATGAAATCCAGACAACAAATACTTTCCCATTGGGACCCATTGAAAACAGTGCTGAGGCGCCTCACTTACAATACGTTTTGTGGGCACCAAATAATTCGCCTTTAGCAACCACAAATGGGCCAACTACAACGAATACGCAACAAACAACGACAGTGACATCGAACACGTTGACGGGCACAACCAGTATTGGAAACTTTGGAGGGGCCGGAAAACCAACGCCACCCAACTACCAATCACCACACGCGAGCAGCTTAAACAAAGCAACAAATCAAGCCATAGCATTCGCATTCGAAAATGACATTTATTACAAACCGAAAGTGCAGGGAGAATTGGTCTGCCGCATAACTTCCACCGGTAATAGGCGCATTTATGGAAAACTAATTAAACTGTAATGAATATTTTTTAATAACTTCAATTATAGGGCAAGCGGGCGTTATATATAATGGCATACCAGATTGGACATATGGTAATGTACCAGAGTTGAATAGCCAGGAGAAGAGTATGACTTTTTCACCGGACGGATTATTTTTAGCGTTTCTCACATTTAATGACACAACAGTCGTGGAATACAAGTAAACAATTCGTTAGCTATAAAGTTATTTTGGTTTTTACAAAAATTAAATAACTCAAAAATCTAAAAATATATCTAAAAATAACCATAAATTGTTACAAGCTAACAACCAAATAATTTCACAGACAATTTTTTTAAAGATTTCCTTTCCCCAAACAGATATACATGGATGGCTGATGACATCAAATATCCTGCTGTGTTGAAACAGCGGTATCCTAAAGCTGGTGCCATTAATCCTAATGTTACTGTAAATGTTGTGAATCTGTCCGTCCTTAAATATATCTTTCCAACACAAATAAAGCTACCTATGGAATTAACAAATGGAAGTTATATCGGTGGTCTAACGTGGGCCACACCCATTGATCTATCGGTTACAATAACAAATCGCGCTCAAACCAAAGCTACTACCGTTATGTGTCGTGCACCAGATTTTCAATGTCAAATTGTGCATACCGAGGTGACAGTAAATGATGGCTGGGTGCTACCAATAGAGAAACCGATATTTTCCACAAAAATTTTTAATTCCCAATTAAGGAACAATCAGCAGCAATACCTGAACAATGTACCTAACGATAATGTTGTCTATCAGAATGTTACAAATGGACAGACTACATATGAAATCGCTAATGGTGGTTATTTATTGAAACGTCTTCCTGTTCGCGATGGAGAGCATGGACATTTTCGTCATGTAGTCTTCGTTTCATCACTAGATCGTCGACAAGTACCGCTTACTATGGGAAAATTTGAAGTAACTGATATTGTTGGTTGGGATGAGAGTAATGAAATTGTTTATTTTATGGCCGCACCAGAGAAGCGACCTGGCGAAAGGCATCTATATAAGATTCGGCTAAAATTGAATATAACCAAACCAAATCGCACATATATAACAGCAACACAACCTACTTGCCTGACATGTGACAACAGTGCTTCTACCTTTAAATTATTTAATGCACCTATAGAAAATAATAATAGCAGTGAAAGTGACGAATGTCCTTATGAAATACCTAAAAATTGTCTATATAATAAGATTTACTTTAGCAAAGATTTTTCGTTTTATGTACAAGAATGTCTGGGACCCGAATCACCCAGTGTTTATTTAGTAGACACCCAAACCAATACTAAGATTTATGTATTGAATGCCGGGGATAGTTTAAGAAACCGCCTCTCACAATTAGCTTTACCGCAGCTACGTACATTCAATGTTGAAATTCGGCACGGCTTCTATGCACAGGTGCGTTTACTGTTACCGCCCGGTATGCGAGAGGATGAGGAAGTTGCTTTTCCAGTGATTTTACAGGTGTAAGTAAACTAACATAGAAGCAAAGTAGATTTTTTTAAATATTAAAAATTTATTTGTTGTAGTGATGCTTCGCCTGGTTCACAATTAGTAACTGAGAAATATCAAATCGATTGGAATTGGTACTTGTGTAGTCAACGTTCAGTAATTGTGGCACAAATCGATGCACGTGGTAGCGGTTTTCAGGGAGAACTTCTACGCACTCAAGTTCATGGCAAACTGGGTACGGTTGAGGTTGAAGATCAACTTGGCGTTATGACGTGAGCTTCATTTGATTCATTTAATTTATTACAAATATGTATGTAAAAATATTGATTTTCAGTTATCTACGTGATAATTTACACTTTATTGATCCATCCCGTATTTGTGCCTATGGCTGGGGTTATGGAGGTTATGCAACCATAATGGCACTAATAGAAGACTCTCAAAATGTGTTGTTATGTGGCATTGCTATTAATCCATTAGTATCATTTGGATATCATTGTAAGTACCCATTAGTGTGTTATAATTACTTAAATCTATATTTTATTAAATCTATTGAAATCTACTTAACTCTAAAAGAAGCTATTGCAAAATCATTTAATTTTTTATATGAAAATTGACTAAAATAAATAATTAAAATATTTATAAAATATTTCTTGTTTTTCACATGTATTAGACTCATTTTTTACTGAACGTTATATACCACTGAAAGGTGACTATCTAAGAGCATTGCAAGAATCGGATCTAACTATGAAAGCCGGAAATGTTAAAGGTCGGAATCTTATGATAATGCACGGTACGGCCGATACATTGGTACATCAAGAGCACACTTTAATGTTAGTGCGTGCAATGGTGGATCAACAGGTTAAGTTTAGACATCAGGTTAGTTAACGCAACATTCAAAATACTTTATTAGTTTTTAATTTTAATAAATTATTATATCTTCAATTATTAATTGTGATGAGCTACAGTCAATAGACTAACTTTATGTTTATATTCATAACTATCAATTTTTGGTGACCAAAACAGTAATACATATTAATAATAATAATAATTTTCAGAAAATTATTATTTTATAGCTTTTAGGTGCCCATAGAGCTTGTAGGTATTACCAAATATGTACCATCAATTGTCTTAAGAAATAGTTTTTGCATTTAATTGTTCATTGAAAATTTTTTTCTCTGGAAATATCAAGAGTTAAACTTTAACTCTGTCAAAACCTAGTTTATATGGTCTAAAAACTATATATAAGCAATTAAATCTTAAAAAAAATTGTGAAGACCACTAGTTATGGTTATTTGGTAATCCGGAATCAGTTCTATGATCAATAAAAAATACAATTAATTGAAACATTTAATAGTTTCTTCGTCATATTTGACTTTGTTTAAATTTGATTATTTTTATATTATAATTGTAAGATATATGGTAATTTTCATATTTATTTTTCTTTAAAATAATATTTTTTTATATATAAGGTTTATCCAGATGAAGATCACCACTTAAGTAAATCCCTAAGTCATGCTTATAAAACTATGGAATGGTATTTCGATGAATGTTTCGGTCCGAACGAAGACAGCGAATGGGATCCAACGGGTTTCTTTGTGTTCAAACAATAATTAGAATAAAAAATTAGCATAAGTTAAATTAATATTAAATATATAACATATAATGTTAATGTAAGTGGTACAAAACAAATCAATTTAACTTGAATAATAAAAATATTATATTTATAGAATCTGTGTAATATCTAATATATTTTTTCGTATACTAATTCGAATGAATTCAGTTCAATAATAATTAACCCTAATAATGATTAATTAATTAGCTTTAATTTTTAATTAGTGAACTAGAAAATACTATTTGAATTCTTAACTTATCTAGCACAATAAATTATAAAAAATGAACTATGGTATATGTGTACTTAAAAATTTTTTTTTAATTTCAAAATTATTTATTTATCTTTCTCACTTTTGTTTACCTAAATATATTACTGCATTTTAGTTCAAATTAGCTAGAAATATTAAATAATTTTGTTATGACTGATGAAAAAGATTATCACTTTCACTTATATTTAAGCATTTATTTAAAAACATGTAAGCACAAATTTAAATATATATTAAAAAAATTGACTGAATTTTATTTTTATTATTTTAATATCATATAGAATTTATTATAAATAACCAATTGTTTATTTTAGTGAAAAAACAAATATAATAATGTTTTATAATCATTATTTTAAAATTTTATTCAAATAGTATACCTTTATTATTATAATGTATAATAATTTTATAAAATGGTTTGTATATTTTTTTTATTGCACTTTAAATATTTCTTTAAATATATATTTTTTTTAAATTTATTACTATGAATTTTTTTTAAAGATTATTAAATAATCTTATAAAAAAAAATATAAAAGTATTCTCTACCTAAAACAAAAATAAATTTATATTTCAATTTAATAATAGAATTAGCTTCCATATCTTTTAGCAATTAAAACACAAACTTTTATCTATAAAATTATAAAAGATATTTTTTTTTTATATAAAATAATTTTAAAATTTAAATTAAGTTTAAAATATATATAAAATTTCATACATTGAAATTGTTATGTAAATCCGAATTCGATTCGAGATTGCATTCCATTAAATTTTATGTTAACAATGTAATAAAATCTATATATATAATTGACTATACTTATCAATATAAAATATTTATATAGCATATTTTTTATCCTATTTTTATTTTAAGAAAACATTGTTATTTAAATCTTAATCACAATGTATACTAATACACAATGTATGCAATAATTATATATCAAAAATAATTTACATTTATATTTATGTTATAATTTAATTATGGACATTTTTAAATATATATATATTTAATTTTACTGTATATTAAGATTAAATGTGGTATAATAAATTTTAAATGTTTACAATAAAAATAAATATATAAAAGAATAAAAAATTAAAACGATTTGAATATTATTGACATACATTTACAATCAGTTCAAAAGAAATTTAATAAAATAAGAATGTTGGTATATGGTATTATAACAATAAAAAAAATAGCAGGTTCGTTCTTTTTAATCGTTCCCGTTTTAAAAAATCCCAAATTAACTGTCTAAGCTGATGTCAAAGCATTAATCATCCATTTAGAAACTCTTCCAAAGCATCTTTGGTTTGTTCATCCTGCAAATCTACTTCTTCTAACGTAACTTTTGCTTTGGATTCGGTAGATATTTCTATACATAAGAGAATAAAATAAATTAACAAATAATCAACAATAAATATAAAAATTCAAAAATTTAGGCTAGATAAACTAATTATCTAAACATTTTATCATTTACAATTTTTGTTCAATATTATAAAACAAAGTAGTGCTGGTGTCTATGGATATAACATAGCTATTCTATA